TGGGAAAAGTCTTGACCTCGGCTGGGACAAAATGTGCTGCGGGCCGTCGCAGACTCCTCCCCTCTGGTTTCCTTCTCCAAAGTCGCCTAGCTGTCTTTTCAAAGGAGGAGGAGCTTGGGCCATCAAATACGGTTAGGTTAGAGAACTTTCCCACCCAGGAGCTAATATGCATTGCTTGGGAAAATATCAGTCCATAGACCTGGATCGGATGTGTGGAGAGAATGGGCCTGGAAGGGATGGGCACTGCAGGACCAGGGCAGGCCCCGTAGGGGTCCACATGGAACTCCTGGCACCAGCACCCCCTGGGCAGGCAGCAGGTGGCTCCTCTCCTCCCCTCAGGCCAAGCTGTGGCCTCCAGCAGTGCCTCACTCCTGGATGGGTTTCCTCTCCACACTTCACTACGGAGCACAACTGGCCTTGAATTCACAGCGATCCTCCTGCCTCAGCCTCCAGACTGCTGGGATTACAGGCATGCGCCACCACGCCCAGCTTCAATTTAGCACATTTTTACAAAGTGTTAATGCCTTTCTACACTTTGTGGAAAGAGACTTGACAGCGTTTTTGTTTTGTTTTGTTTTTTAAGACCAGTAACATGCTTCTTCCTTTTGATGGAGCAGTTCTACATATGAGAAATTATTAGGCAAAAGACATAAATGAGGGCTGGGGATTTAGCTCAGTGGTTCTGTTGCCTGCCTCCCAAGCGCGAGGTCCTGAGTTCGATCCCAAGTACCAAAAAAACCCCCCAAAACACTATGCTGTAAAACTACACTGGATAAGACATAAATGAATAAAATAACAATAAAAAATAAAAATCTTCTGCAGAGAGTGCTTAGTGCACTATTTATGTCAATAGAACACTTAAGATAACTTCAGTAGGCAATAAGAGGAGAGATTTGTTCATTCTTCTCACAAAAAAGTGGTGAGTAATGTATGTGAACTAGAGCCATGTGCCATTCCATGGTGTCTGTGTGTGGCACGGTCCGAGTCCAGGTGTCCCCTGGTGCCACATGTGGTCACAGGCACAGCTTGTAGAAGGCGATTAGATTTTGAGAGCTGGCTCGCTGTTAGGAGACAGGGCCTGCTTGGAGGGCCCCTGGGGCAGGGCCTGGAAGGGTTCCTCTCCCTCCTGTTCCTCCCTTCCCTCTGCTTCCTGGTCCCCATGCTGCGAGCAGCTCTCCTCCGCCAGGCCCTTCCACCTCGCCTTCCTGCCCTGGAGTTGGCCATGTAGGGACTGAAAATGTGAGCCAAAATACACCTGTCCTCCTTTAAGTTGTGGGTATTGAGTTTTTGTCCCTGCAACAAGAAAATGACTAAGACAGCATATTTTAAAACATTATATTAATGCCTTAAATATATACAATTTTAATTTGTCAATTTAAAACAAATTAATTACTTAGAAAAAATTCTAAGGACCTCATAACTATGGTCCCCAAACAAGTGTCCAGGGGAAGATTCCTGGGAGGAAATGAAGTACAAGCTGAGATGCAAAGGAAGAGTGGACAGCAGGGAGGCAGGGGCACTGAGAGGACACAGGACAGCAAGGCCAGGCTTGAGGGTGAGGCATGGTGTGGCTGGAGCATAGGACTGGGTGAGGCCCGCTGGAACCGAGGTGGGGCACCTGCGCATCTGGACTTGGTCCAGGGCGTCGGAGAGGTGGTCGGGTGGGGGTGATTGGAAGCAGGGACAATGGGGACACCACTGGGCTGTTGGAGAAGGAGGCTGGGAGTAGAATCAGGATGTATCCGAGACATAGGGCAGAACTGGTGGCAGCCTGGGAGTGGCAGGTGTCACTGTTTGGAGAAGGCAGAGCTGTACCCGGTCAGACAGTGGGAAAGATCTCGGGGGGAGGTGTACAGGAGGGACGAGGGACACACTGTCAGGGAGGGCGCGAGGCAAAGGGTCAGGTTGAGGGGTCGGAGGTGCAGACCTGGGAAAGGTCCTGAGCCTGGTGACGCCCCTAGTAGTCTGACGTGGCTGGAACCGGGGTTCACAGAAGGCAATTTAGAATCTTTGTTTCTGGCAGAGGGCTTCTGCTGAGTCCGGTGAGCCTTGCAGGGGTGCCAGTGGCCTCTGAGGGTTCAGGGGACCTGGAGCCATCCATTAGCAAGTCCACCAGGGGCCCTCGACTATCCACATGGTTTTTGCTCTTGCTTTTGCAGTGTTGGGCTCAAGCACAGGGCCCCGTGCATTGCAGAACTCTACCCCACCCCAAGAGTGACATCTGTTAGGATTTTCATTAGCAGAGTATTTAATTGCCAGGTAAGCAGACTCCACCCAAGAGATGTAAGGGCTCGGCCAATCTCTCTCACCCCCTGCCTGTTGGGATCATGGCAGAGGCACCAAGGTGTTTCCGGGAGGGCCAAAGAGAGAGGACAGAAAGAAATCTTCCCTAAAGAGTAGCTGGAAACCAGAAATCAATTCATCCCTCAAACACACGAATGTGGGAATGCAGAAAGAACTACGACTTCAAAGAAACAAAGGTTACTGCAGAAGGCAGGAGTGGGGGCTTGGGGACACTCGGTTACACACTTGTGATGGTGTCAGGCCTGCCTGGGCGCTCCACTGTGGTGCGCCCGGCTTAGTCTGTCTCAGCCTCAGTTTACTCATCTGTGCAATGGAACCTAGTGGTGGCCACCCAAGGTCAGGCACCTGCATCGGGACAGGAACCCTACAAGCCCCCATGCCAAAGCTGCGAGCTTTACCTCTGTGCACTACCCAGCTCACTAGGGAAACAGAGGCAGGGGCAGGGGCATGGGAAGTGGGAGGAGCTGGAGACAGAGGGGACTCTCCAGGGCCAGGAGGGACATCATGGGCTTGGCAGTCCACACAGAGGGCCAGCAAGGCGAGGAGCCTGGGGAACAGCCGGTGGGGTGGGGGTGGACAGGAGTAGGTGGCAGGGACGGCAAGGCGCCTGGAGTGAGAAGGAGCCTGGAATCTCTGCCAGGCAGTTCAGGGACGGGGCTCAGCTTGTCCTCGGCAGGTCCTCGGCCAGCCAGTGGGCTGGGTGTGTCTGGCCCAGACAAGACAGTTCGTGGCTGAGGAGGTCCCACGGGGACACAGAGAGGCTGCAGGGCTCAGGAGATGCCTGGAAGGCAGACTCGGCAGGACGTGGGACCTGAAGGGTTAGGGAGAGCGGGTGGGGAGGACTCCCCCATCTGTCTCAGGTGACACAGCAGTGATGCTGGTCACCCAGATGCTAACGTCACATGCACTGGCACACACATTATTCAGAAGGGATAAGTCAGCCCCGCCAACATGGAGGGAATCAGCCCAGTGTGACAGTGCAAAGAATTACAAACACACTCAAGCATGCTTTGTCAGCCCATGGAGGTAGAAGAAATGACTCCAGAGGCCTGTCCCCAGGTCCCTGTGGCCGGGTGACCTGTCTGTGGACTGGAGCCTGTGTGTCCTGGCCGCGTGGTCTGGGGCAGCATCAGGACCTTACTTGTCAGCTTTGTGAACGCCGTGTGGGTCACCACTTGGACAGACACTTAGCAGGAGTTCAGAACCAGCCCAGTCTCTTAAATCTGGTAATAATACAGCTTAGCAACCCAATACAACATTGCTGTGTCCTCTTATTATCTACAGAGTACTTGCAGGAAATGATTTACTTTTTAAAAAGAAAAAGGAAAATTGCACTCTAACACAGTGGTGGTGAGTTTTTGTTGCTTTTTTCAAGATTATCCTGAACTTCCTTTGTCAATTAGGAGAATTTATAGTAAGAAAGTCCTTTTCTAGTTGCATAAGAAGTTGATCTCATACACAGATATGATACGAAACCCTTTGTGTTCCAGACACAATCCCTAACAAATACCCATTTTCACTTGTTCCCTCCAAGCTTCTGTATTCACACAAACACACATCATGACCATGGCATAAACACCCTGTAAGATCTGATGGTTCACTGAAGACTGCATCCCTGGCACTTTCATATCATGACACAGTGTTTGTGGTCATCACTTTACTGGCTGCATGGGCTCCACTAACCTGCATGCTTACCGCTTACCCGGTCCTCTACTCTATCCCTGGAAATCTATTTGTGTTATTTCTCATTTTTTACTCTCTCCCTCTCTCTCTCTCTCTCTCATAGCCCCAGGCTTAGCTTTGCCTTATTTTACATTATTTCCTTGGAATCAATATTGATCAAAAGGTATGAGTAGCTCATGGCACCTGATACATACTGTGTAAATGCTCTGGCCAAGTGCTGTGCTAATAACCGCTGTGTTTGGCATGGCTGAGTGCTCCTGGTTCCCTGCAGCTTTGACAGCATGGAGTATTATCATCTTCAAACTGTTCCTACAGGGATCCAACATGGAGTCTTATTACTGTGCCCACTGGCATAGGAGAAATTTCCCAGAGCTACCAGCGTGCCCCTGTCCTCTTATAACCCTATTCTATCATCTCCTGTGCTTGGGTGGGAGGAGACCAGAACTCAAATCCCAGCCTGTTTTTAGCCAGCTTGAAGACCCCCAGCCCTGTGCTTATGCTGCTCCAGTTTGCCTCCATCTGCCTCGGCCTAGGCTCCCTGTCAGCCATCACGCCTCCCGACGCCAGCTCCTGGGCCAGTCCTGCAAGGCTGAGTGGCTTACGAGAAGGGGCTGGTCTTGGGGAAATCCGGATGGCACTGCCTTTCTGGCAGCAGCTCGGGACGGGAGGGTGCGGGGCCCATCGGGGCGGAGGGGGCCTGGGTTCTGGGTGGCCGGGAGCCGTGGACGGTTGGGAACAGTGAGTGGCTCATCCCAGACCACGGGTTCCCTCCTGCGCCATGAGCAGCAAGGAGTGGAGCCCCAAGTGGCCGCATGAATCGGGGCCCCAGCACCATGACAGAGCTCCCCACAGGCCTCCCGGCAAGAGTGATCTTCTCAGGACACCCACAGATTCCTAATGGGTCACCGCTGCAAGAACCCTGTTTCCCTCTCCTTCGGCTTGCTGTTTGCCAACCTCCGTCGCTGGGCCCCAACTTTTCCCAATGGGTAACAGATTCTTGTGTTGACTTGCAGATCATAAGGCAGCAGTTTCCACAGCTGACCACCAGGAGACTCGGGACCCGAGGACAGTCAAAGTAAGCACTGTACACGCCCCTGGGCAGGAGGTTGGCCCACAGGGAGCAGGCGCTTAGGACAGCTGCACCCTCCCGGGGTCCCTGGGCAGAGGCCGGGTGGAGCCTGGCTTTGTGCTGCCCTGCCTTGAGGTGTTCTGTGTGAAGTATTCAGACACTCGCGGAGCACCCGGCCTCTTGGGTGGTCCCCGGAACTCGGACTGTTTTCCCCAGCAAACTCTGCAGCAAGCCAGAGAGGCTCACAAGTTTCACCCACCGACAGGCAGAATGGCTTCCACCTGCCCGTGTCAGGTACAGAGTGCTGGGTGCTGGGTAGGACAGGCAAGAAAAAGAATCCGATTTCCAGCAAAGAGGGTTGTCACAGAATGACAGCGGGGCGGCAGCTTTCCCAAGGAGGTCCCTGAGGGCCCCCCTGGAAGAAGGAGGGGCTCATGCACTGCCCGTCCCAGGACTGTGTTGGAGACAAGACGCCGCTGGGCTGCACAAAACCTGCATTTTAGGACTCACCTTGAAGGATGTTCCTCAGGTCGCTGGCTATTAATAGGTGGTTCTGAAGAGGGGCGGGGTCCCTACACCACGTTTCTCTGGAGACTCCTCCACACCTTTCTGACGCCAGTGTGCACAGGGCCGGCAGGCAGCATCTCCGACCCTTTTGGCCGTGTTGAGCAAGTGGACACATGGAGAGCTGGGAGCCCCACAGCCCTTTCTTCTTGCAGAAGCCATGCCTGGCTCTGCGGGACCTCTGGCTCGGAGGGGTCTCGAGGCCCGTCCATACTGCCCTGCCATCCCCGGAGCTGCACCCACCCCTGTCGCCCCTGGACAGCACATTTTTAGGCTCCAAGGGTAGGTTTGACTCCAGGAAAGTTAGGAGAAGGAAATGGATGCTCAAACTAGGAGAATCCCTTTTTGGCACAGTTCTGAAAATAATGAGACTCTTTTGTGTGGCTCAGAAGCTCTTGGGCTCATTTCCAAAGGGATTTCCAGAAAATTTGGGAACAAAGGACAGCTTGGAATAAGTTCCTAATAGTTCTCCAAGGTGACTATTCTGAAAATCAAACCCCCCACCCCCCTTTTTTTTTGTAGTGGGGCTTGAACCCAAGGCCTTGGCCCTGAGCTACATCCCCAGCCCTTTTTAAATTTTGTATGTGAGACGAGGTCTGGACAGGGCTGTCCAGGCTGGCGACCCTTCTGGGTCAGCTTCCCAGAGTGCTGGGATTATAGGTGTGCATCACCACACCTGCCTTCCACTTCATTTACAATGAAAAATTCGGTAAAAAGATGAGGCTTCGACCTTGGTGAGGTCACAGAGCACAAAAGCCGGATTCTTCCTTCCTTGCCTGCTGGTGACACACACAGCTGACTCACGGATGCCAGGGCGGATGGGAGGCAGTGGAACAAATGGCCGAATCCCTGGCTCTAATACATTGCTGCCCATTTGTGAGAAGAGTAGACAGTCAAGACAGCTAAGTCAAGAGAAAAGGTGGCAAAAATACAACAGAAAGGCTTCTTATCCTACAAAACTTGGAGAAAGTTCCCCTCTGTCCATGTTGAGAATCTGGTTTTGCTTTTCTCTTTCTTGATCCAACAGGTTGGCAAAATGAGCAACATCTCCTTAGCAGCTCTGTGTCCTCAGTTGTCTTGTGTCCTGCTCACACCTTCTGCCAGAGGGAAGCAGTGAGCAGCTGGATCTCCATCCACCCCGGATGAGAGCAGAGCCCCTTCCTCACAGTTACCGGGACAGAGGAAGGCGGGGTGGCTAGCGAAGGGCGCTGGGGTGCAGTACAGAGCCCAGACTGGGATATGGAAAAGGGGCCAGCGTGATTGCTTTCCTGCGGCTGCCAGTGTTAGCAACATGCATACTGAATAACCAAGAAGTGACGCATTGTGACTGTCTGAGTCCCAGGAAGGGGAAGGGACTCTGAAGCCAGAGGGGTCTCCCTAACTGTCCCTCCTCCCCCAGAAGGGGCTTCCGGAACCTGGCAGCTGCCCCTCCCCCACCTCCTGTGGAAAGGCAGTTAGGTGACAGTTGAGAGGTGGAAGGCAGTCCCAGGCACCAGCCCGACTAGAGAACCTTCTGATAACTGCACTGGTTCAACATGAGCTGGCCTCTCTACAGAGGGCCCGACCTCATCGGTCCAGCAACCCAGACAGAGGCCAGCTGCCCAGCGGGCAGAAATGTCTCCGAATGGTATCAGGGGTCGAGGGGGCTTGGGGGAGGCGAGACTGTTCAAGATACTTTGCTGTTGGCCTCATCCTCTGATGACCAGCACACAGCCCAGGGGAGAGATGACTACAGTGGACCCTTGACTTAGGACCTCAACTCGGTCCTGAGGGCCAGTTGTGACTCAAGTTGGTCAGTAGAGGCTCAGGCTCCTCTACACAGCCTTCAAAGTCTCTCTCCTGTATGCAGAGAGGTCTCAGTGTCCTTAATGGCCCAAGATTTCTCAGTTAGCCCCACACAGGAGAGGATGCTGTCATGTTTCTTCCAGAACTCTTTAAGGGTTAAATCTGTGTCTGAGACCATCTGGAAGCACGAGTGGCTGGCATTTGGGTGGTAACTCAATACTTTGTTCATAAGTTTAAACTAAAATTCTGGTCATGACCCAAGTTGTTCTATGTCAGGCCAGTCGTAACTCGAGGGTTCACTGTAGTTCATATGTTGCGTGGTGTTTCTGCAACCAAGGTCTATGAATTACCTTAGTGTTGCTGTGGGACTGAGAAAATCTACTGTAGACCTATGAAACCAGAATCTTTGAGGGAGGCAGGAGTCTGAAATAAGTTTTGCAGGAGATTCTTGTTAGTAAAGTTTGAGAATCACCAGCCTTGTAGTTAAAGAATACTTCTCGTGCTATGTCCTCACTGGGTGACCATGGTGTTAGTACTTACATTCTCCGAGCCTTCGTTTCCTTGTCTGTAAATTGGGGTACAAATTAGCTCCAGCCTGGTGGGAATTGTGTGGACTTAAATATGCCAACCTGTGTCAAGCCCTTTACATGACAGATCTCAAACTGATGTGTTTCAGAATTCCCAAGGTGCTTCTCAACCTCATTCTCGGCTGTCCTGAACCATTAGGCCCTGGGAAGGGGCTGAAAATGTCTGTTTTTATTAAGCCCCATCAGGGATTCTGACACATGTCAAGGTTTATACTGTCAGACGGATGAGCTCTCTGACCTGGAGGAAATTACCTGTGCATTCTTGCCTCCTCCTCATCTTCAGGAAGCCTACAATCATCTGTACCACATAGGATTATTTTACAGTCAGTGTGTGTGAAGCACTTTGCTCAGTGCCCACCGTACACATACCAAGTGCTCGGCAGCTTGTAGCTAAACTCCAAACGCCAGGTGGCTTCCAGCCCTCTGGATGGAAAGCACTGCTATTACCGAGCCTATTTTAATTTAATAAAAAGTCTTGGTCTTTGACATATGGTGTTAAATGAAGCACTGAACTACAGCTCCCTGAGACGCAGCTCTGATTAGGAAAGGCACTGGCCAGGTGAATTTCGGTGGAGGTGCGGTTAGCAGTTCCTGAGCCCCAAAGGCACTGCACCCCGGGGTCACGTTCAGTACACAGTGAGACCAAGCACAAGTGGAAAGTTTTCCTCCCCTCTCCGCCTTGCAGCATTTGACTTAACGTGTTCTGTAGGAGGCATTCGGTTATTTTTACCTGGCTGATTGACGGCTAGCACGTGGCGCGGCATTTAACTGGATTTCAGAGCCGTCGAGCTCGGGGAGGGTTAACCCTTCCAGGCCTGGGTAAGAGGTGCCCAGCCCGCCCCACCCCTCACTGTGGCCCTGTGTGCCCCTCTCCGCCGCCCAGGTACCATTACTACGGCATCGCGGTGAAGGAGAGCTCCCAGTACTACGACGTGATGTACTCCAAGAAAGGAGCCGCCTGGGTGAGCGACACGGGCAAGAAGGAAGTGAGCAAGCAGACGGTGGCATACTCGCCGCGCTCCAAGCTGGGCACACTGCTGCCCGAGTTCCCCAACATCAAGGACCTGACCCTGCCGGCCAGTCTCCCCGAGGAGAAGGTGATGCCCCGGGGTGGGCGGGGCCCTCGCCCTGTCTCCCTCTCCCTCTCCCTCTCCCTGACCCAGACGCTGGGACTGCAAAGTAGTACCCAAAATATGAAGGTGTAGCTAATGCAGAGTTCATTTCTCCGTCGTGACAAAGGCAGCAGACAGCCGTGAGGTCTGGGCCACATTGCGGCTTATGGGAACCACCTGTATTTACAACATTGCTCTATATCCAAAGCTACCCTGATGTTAGAAAGGTCACCCGTCACCTCTACCTTCCCTGCCTACCTCTGTCTCTGTCATCTCTTATCTGCCTCTGCTTTTAAAGTGTGTTTTTATTAGTCCACGTTTGCAATACATGATCACATCCACAGAGCACATCTCAGTTCCTTTGTTTGTCCCCTTCCCTGCCCTCCTTCCCCTCCCTCTATCTCTTGGTCTCTCTCTGTCTCCCTCTCTCTCCCCCCTTGAGACAGAGTCTCTCTATGCAGTGTAGGCTGGCCTTGAACTTGCTATGTATCCCAGGTTGGCCTCGAACTCAAGGAGATCCTCCTGCCTCAGCCTCCCGAGTGCTGGGATTATAGGCATAAACCACCACACCTGGCCAGTCCCCTGCTCAGTTGAGCAAGATCTCTCTCCCACTTGCTACCTAGTCATCCATCACTGTCTGTCTACCCACCTGGCCCCTGCCCTACACTCTCACGCCCCCACTTCACAAGGGGAGAGCCCCTCCACTCTGGATTACATTCAGGACAAAGCTCATGTTTCCATGGGCTGCAGGGGATTTGGTGAAACAGAACCCACAGAAAGAGAAGGTTTTTACAGGTTGAGTGAGAGAGCTGGATCCCTCTCCCCCTGGAGCAAGTGCAGCAGCTCCCACAGGAATCCACAGCCCGAGGGCAGCATGCATGGGAGGAGGAGCAGAGTCTGAGTGGGCCGAGAGAGCATGCACACCAGTTTTTATGAAATGCTCATCCACACTGGGAAACGAAGACACTGTATGGATGCTTTAGGAACTAGATAAATATCTGGGGTTTTCTTTGGTACCGGGGATTGAACTTGGGACCTTGCGCTTGCCAGGCAGGTGCTGGAACCACTGAGCTAAATCCCCAACCCAAATATCTGTTTTTTCTCAAATTCACTTTTGATCAACCAACCTCTTGCACTATGGCTTTAAAATTCCTGAATAACTGCTAAGTAGATTCTAGAGAATTCTCAGGTGTCTTCTGGTCATTTTGGCAGAAGCACTTCTTATAAGTACATGCTGGGTTTTAACTTTTCATTATCGTGGCCAATGAGGAGAACTGAGTTCAAGAAGCCCTGCTGAGCACTGCTTGCCAGGCACCGTGCTAGTTCGGGATAGGCAAGCGTGGGTGACGTGGCCCTTCTTGTTCCCCCAGAGCCCGCACACCTAAGGGGAGGATGGAGGCAGAGAAGGCCCCGCTCTGTGCACTGCAGGGTGGCGCCCAGAGCACAGCCCACAGCCCCTGAGGGAGACCAGCCCCTCCTGGGTGTGTAGGATGAGTAGGTGTTCGGTGACTTCTGTCCCTCCAGGGACAGGTAATAAATGACGTGGCGTGGAAGTGCCCAGGGCGGCCACCCTGTTTGTTAACGTGGCCTTTACTGTCAATCCTTCACCACCCCGGCAGGTCTCCACCTTCATCATGATGTACCGGACGCACTGTCAGAGGATCCTGGACACGGTGATAAGAGCCAACTTTGACGAGGTGGGTCAGCACAGTGAGCGTGAGTACCGCTGTGAAATAGTGCACTGCACGCAGCTCCTACATCCCGAGACCCTGCCTGGTGCCAGGCCTCGTCCCCCAAAACCCTTGACACCCACAGGCCCACTGAATCCTCACAGGGGCCCCAACAAGCAGGTCCTCTGCGTCCCCCGTTGACAGAGCGTATGTGTTCATTGCAGGGTGGGCGTGGCCCTCCCTGGATTTGCCAGTGAACGAGTCCCACCCTGCGGGCACACAAGGACCTCCAGGTTTAGCTCCCCAGAACGGTAGATTCAGAGAAACTGAGGCAAAACTGCCCGAGGTCATCCACCTGCTGAGTTCAGAGATGGTCACCTCCATCCTCAAGGACTGGTCCACTTTTCCACCAGATCCCACCTCTAGGGCCATTTGGAAATGCAAACACTGTAAGAAGTCTGTTTTGTTTTTATTTTTAAATACTGCAATGAAAGAAAGAGTGGAGAGGAGGAAATAAGAAAGGATTGAGGTGCCTGTTAGGTAACCAGAGTGACAGTAAAATCCTCTTGCCTAAGATGGCACTCAGAAGAGCCCCGCAGAGGGACGGAAGAAGAACCCCACTTGGTTGGAGAGTTAAATAAGACAGCCTAGGAAGAAGGCAAGCAGGCTGCACAATGCATGGCAGGAGGTCCAGAGGCTGGAGGGAAAAGAGCCCTCCAGGGAGGGCACCAGACTTGGAGTCCCAGGCTTGGCTTCAAGATCGGGCCCTGCCTTCCAAGCCTCAAGTCTTCATCCTAGAAATGGAGATAAAAATAGCATCCACCTACTTCGTAGGGTTAGTAGCAGGAGGAGAGATCAGCTAGTACCCAGTAAGCACTCCTCATAAACTGTAAGGGCACACAGATGCTTGCTGGAGGTAGATTTGCTCGAGGTCACACAGTTGAGTCCACCCAGAGTTGTGACTAGATCCTTTGTCACTGACACCTTTCGTGTGCTCCTCCTGCTCCCCGACATGGCATTTGGTGGTGGTTTCGAAGATGACTAACCAAGATATGGTTCACTCTACCAATCCCAGAATAATGCAGGAGGATGTTTTATCTCAGACGACCATGACTCTTCTGCAGCTAAGGAAAGACTTTGTAAATAGATTGTGGGTGTTGCTGGTACACCCCGACACACCTGATTGTTGATTTGAAGTCTTCCAGATCTTTGTGTCAGTTGAGGTGACCACTCTGCTAGCATCTCAGTCTTAAATTGTCTCGCTCACTTGTTCATCATTGGTCTCTGCCACTCCAGGGTCAGCCCAAGAGGTCAGGGCCTTGTCTGTCCTGGCAGCTGTGGCCTTAGGCACTCAGTAAATAGTTGCTGGCTGCGTGAGTGGGTGGATGGATGGATGGGTGGGTGGATGGGTGGGTGGATAGATACCAAAGTCCCACAACTTATAACATTGTCAAGCAAGCCCGAAGAATATGCACCGGCACGTAGGGGACCCCTGTAAGGACTTCTCCAGACAGCAGTGCAAAATGAGCCTCAAAGTGCCCTAGTACTGTGCTTTTTGAGTCCCAAATCCACTACTTACTGGTCCGTGACCTTGTGCAAAGCCCTTACCCTGTCTGAGCCTCAGTTTCTTTGGTTGTAAAAATGGGACCATGATCATTCCCACTTTGGTGTGTACATGAAATTGTGTATGTAAAGTGTCTGGCTTTGTGCTAGAAGAAAATGAGTGCCAAGAGTTTGGTGGCTGTTCCAGTGAAATCTTCCCAATACAGCAGCAATTAAGAATGCAACTGGAAGTCATCAGATGTGTTTTCACATCCTATTGCTGACTTATTAACAATAAACCAAATGTGCACATGGAAGAGAAATAGGACACGTGGTTAGGCATTCTTGAGGAAATCTCTTGGTACTTTATTGGACCAAAGGAAACAGAGCTAAAAGCTTAGGAAACTAAGACAGATGACCCAGAAAACTTATTTTAAATAATTATTTACCTCTGATTCTTTCACTGATTATGCTTGCAAGGAGTAAGGAGAACTTACCAGAATTCTTCCTTCTGTCTAATAATAATTTCCATTTATTAAATGCCTACACAATGCCAGGCATTTTACATAAGTTGCCTTTTGCCATGCTAATAATAGGAAGGAATCATTATCTTCATTTTATAAAAGCTGCACCAGATTCAAGGGCTTGCTTGACTTAACATGACCGAACCAGAGCCCATGTTGAGCCCCAAATCTGTTTTTCCGGAGCTGCAGATTCCACTGTCCTCCAGCCAGCTGTACAAGCCACACACCCGGACTTGGCCTTTCCCCCTTTCCTCCCATCCATCAGGAGGCTGAGTCAGTGGTCTCCTGTGGGTAGAGGCACTGTGTCTGACCATTTCCCACCCAACTTCCCAGTCTCAGGGCTCCGGCCTCACCCAGGGGAGCCAGAGCCACTGGACGTTAAATGACCTAAAATGTAGCAAGAGGAAGGAAGTTTGCAAACTTTCTACAGAAGCTGGCAGGTGCCGGGGGACCCATCAGGGCTTCCTGTGTGGCTTGAACAGGCTGAAAACAGACAGCTGTCGTCTAGCAGTGCTGAATTTTTCACAGATTTGTTTTATTATACATAACAGCTGATCTTTCCCAGATTTCTTGCTACAAGCTGACTCTTGTAGAGATAGGAGAGCGGAGGGAGGCGGGTGGACTCAGAACACGGCCCAGCTGGGAGTCATCCAGGCAGAGCCCCGGGGGGAGCAGACAGGGAGGGACCAGTGGGGGTCAGGGGACGGTGGAGGGTCCTCTGGAGGACAGGTGCTTTGCCCAAGAGTGGCAGCCAGCCACCGGCAGCCCCGGGCCAGGGCGTGGTCAGACACCAGATGACGCTGGATGACAGAGCAGCACCTGGAGGGGTGAGCAGAGCCACTGTGGGGGCCCCAACCAGTGACGCTGAGAAACTGAGGCCAGAGTGTCCCACAGGCTCGGAGACTTACACAGCTCTCCTGGGCCCAGCAGTGGCAGTGCCTCGTGGCATGAATAGCCCTGACAGTGACGACAGCAGCACCCAAGCTTCATGAAACACCTGGGCTGGGCCAAGCCCAATAACAGGAACGTTTTAGCAATCTTTACCAAAACCTATGCAGGAAGTGCTATTGTATCCTCGTTTCCAGGTGAGGAAACTGAGGCTTGGAGATATTGCACCCCAAGTTGGTAGTGGGGCCAGGACTTGAACCCTGGGCATCAGCCTTTGCCCATCCGGATTGGTTTTGTTTTTATTTCCCAGCTGACTGCAAATACTTTAGTTGTCATGGGATGAACAGGCCTGCAACGTAGGTCTTACAACTGACGGTCTGACGCCATTCATTCACCCCGACTGTGCTTTTGCCGACTGTCCTCCCCCAGGAAATGAGGGTGCGTCTCTGCCATCCTACCCCACAGCCATCCAGCGCCTGTGCTGGGACGTCCGCACTGGCTGTGGCCCAGGGAGGCCTGTCCCTGGCCAGAAGAAAACCAGGCCTTGCTCCTGGAGGGCCCTGAAGGGTGCTGCAGGCGGCCGGGAGGAGCCGGGGCAGGTATCTGGGGAGTGGGCAGTGCCAGGCAGAGGTGCAGGCCTCAGGCGTGGGCAGAAGCCCGGCCGTCGGGTGGAACTCAAGCTGACCATGGGGCTGAAGGGCGGAAGGACCGAGGCAGACGCAGGCTGTCTGGTGGACTCGAGGGCAGCCACAGCCTCATGGTGTCACCCGGGAGAACCTCTGCGGAGGGGCTGGCCCAGAGACGGGCTGTGACCGTGAGACCAGCTCGAATACTGCACGGGGACCGGCTCAGCTCCACAGGGGACCAGGCTTGGTCGGGGGGCCAGTCGTGGGACCCGTGGGGCTCACGAGTCGGGACAGGAGCAGTAGAGTCCAGGAACCCGGCGGGCCTGTGAGAAACAGCCAGGGTGGTGCGCTCGGCGGCTTCCACACGGGCGTCCCCGGACGTTACCCCAGGGGCGTGTCGTGTGCAGAGGCTCACCGCCTCCTAGGGTTCCTCATGTTCCCTCCCCTTCCCTCGTCCCACTTCCCACCCTGTCCTGCCTCTTCCCACGCTCTGCTGGCAGTAACAGACAGGTTGTGGGGGAACCAGGGTGTCTCCGCTTTGGACTTTCACGCTACCATTCTCCATCACATTAACAACAGAAGTGCCCTCGGAATTCCTGCTCGGCGCTAGTGTGGTCTGAGGATGCAAAGAGAAAGTCGAACACACGCTTGGCATCCAGTCGGCCCTCTACCCCGCGCTACCATCTAGCATTGGATCGTGGCTCTGCCTGGCCAGGGCTTGTCGGGAAAATGGAAGGTTTAGGATATGAGACATGCCCGCAGTTCACACGGTCTTGGGCACACACTTCTGAGCCAGAAGCATGGCTGTGGGACCTGCTCGCTTCTCTCCGGGCACCCTCTTCCCTGCAGCCCCAGCCTGGCCCTCCCTGCCAGAGCACCTGGAGCCCTAGAGCCCCGAGAGCTCACACAGCCGTGAATCCATACTCAGACCTTGGAGAGCCAGCGCCCACCCTCCCTCCTTGGACCCTTCACCCACCTCAGTGGGCTTTGAGGGGTGTGTGGTTCATGTCAGAGGAGACCCTGGGCCACTGAGCCAGGAGGTGCTCCAGCAGCCAGTGGGCTGCTAGCATGGAGACAGCCGTGACTCTGCAGGAGGGGCTGGCCCAGGATTGGGGGGAGGGCAGCACTGCACACCTGCTGCTCGTCGGGCTGCCAGGCTCTGTGGGGAGCGCCCCGTAACCTCTCCTCTCTCTGGTCGCCACAGGTTCAGAGCTTCCTCCTGCACTTTTGGCAAGGAATGCCGCCCCACATGCTGCCCGTGCTGGGCTCCTCCACCGTGGTGAACATCGTCGGTGTGTGCGACTCCATTCTCTACAAGGCCATCTCCGGGGTGCTCATGCCCACCGTGCTGCAGGCACTCCCCGACAGGTGAGCCCCCGGGCCCTGTTGCCGGTGGTCAGGCACTGTCCCTTGTAGTCACTCCTGGACTCTCAGAGATGAAACTTGGCATTTTTAGTACAATAATCAGTGTTTGTATTTTGAACCATTGACGGGGTTCAGAGCTCCGAAGGTGGGCTAGAAGGAAAGGTTGCCCTCACCCCACCTGTGGCCCAGATGCCGCGTCTCTCCCTCCCGAGCATCGCCGTTTCTCAGGGTTCAGGCTGACTGCTGTGCACAGGTGATCGGCGATCGATAGGCGTGCAGCGCACCTCCCCACGGAAAGGGAGACTGACAGCCCAGAGAATGAGAAGGTGCCCTGCAAGGCTGCACCCTGCTGCCCTCTGTCCAGGGTGCTGACCGCCCGCACTCCTTCCTGGGCCCCTCCTGGGGAGGGAGGGAGGACCGTGGAGCTTGGCTCTCAGGCCAGGTCCCTCCAGGGGACTCTGTTCCCTTCCCCTTCCCTTCTGGGCAGCCTCTCTCCCTACTGGTGTCCTTCGGGCCTGGGCTCAGTGAGAGCCTGGCTGCTCCTTGCTGGAGGTGGCACCGTCTCCCTTACGGCTTCCCCTGTGCTGTCCACACCTTTACGGATCTGTCCCAGGTCAGGGCTGGTGGCTGGCTCCTCAGAGAGGCCGTGAAGAACCGACCTGCCTGTCTACTCGTGGCTGGGGTGTCAGGAATCCTGGTGGCCCCTGGCTGTGGCTCAGCTGCTCAGTCTCCACCCTGTATTCACATAACCATCTGCTTTGTGTCCTTCTGTAGGTTTTGCCTCTTATAAGGACACCTGTCATTGGATTTAGGGCCCAGTGGTTAATGCAGACCAATCTCACCCTAACTTAATCACATCTGCAGTTGCTTTTTCAAAATAAAGCCACCTTCTCCAGTTCTGGGTAGATATGTTTGGAGGGGTGCTAGTCACCACACTGCATGGAGTATAAGATAAATTCTGAGAGGGCTTAGTTCCTGACTCACAGGGTTTGTGACTTACACTGGGTTTTTAGTGAAGTTTTAATTTGCATTTCTCTTACAATAAATGAAGTTGAGTGCCTCTTAATATATATATATATCAGCCCATTTATATTTGCTTCCCTGGAAATTCTGTTCTTATCTTTTGCCGGTTTGTCTATTTTGTAATTGATACTTTTTTCAATGACTTTCGCAGCTCTTTATTTGTTATGGATATTTACCATTTATGCATGACAAGATCCCAAAATATTCTTATCTTGCTTTTGTGTTTTCGCCATATAAAAAAAACGCACTGCTAAAGTTATTGGTTCTTGTTTTATGGCATATGGATGTGTGTCATAGTTTTAAAATTCTTTCTTGCTCCATTATAAAATACTTTCCCCATGGCTTCTCTCGTTCACTTCCTGGCTTAATGCTTTACTTCTGGTTTTCTCTCCACTTTGTGGCTCATCCTGGTGCAAGATGCGAGGTCAACCTGCCTTTTTTCCAGCCACTCTCTGGTTGTCCTCGGACATAGATTAATGACTCCATCTTGTCGTCACTTAGTTGAGATGAGTCCTTTGTTGTATATTAAATTTTATATGTACTTGGGGTTACTTCTGACTTCGTACGCTAGCCACACCACTGTTCACATTCCAGGTCCCTTGTTTAAGTTTAAACATTTTATAAATCTAGTAGAGCGAGCTCCTCATCATCACTTTTTGGACAGATTTTTCTATTGCTGTCACTTATTTTATTTTCCCATATGAACGATTTACCATCAGCTTGTTGACTTAAATATACCTCTGTGTGTATGCATATATAGGAAATGTGTGAGTATGTGTATATATATATATCTATTATACTACATTTATACATTTTTAAACAGTTTGGGGAAAATTATATCTTCATGATATTGAAAATTGAAAATTCCCAACTTAGACACAGTTTGCTTTTCCATTTATTAGGATCTTATTTGTAGTCCTCAGAAATATTTTAAATATTTTTCATATTAATATTATATATTTCTAATTGGATTTATTCTTATTTTATTTTTGTTGCTATTAACAACAATCTTTTTGTTGCTATTGGTAGTTGTGTGTATTTATGTATACTGATACTGTATATTTTATCAGATTAACCATATTAAAAGTAATTTATCTTACCATTGCATTCATTTTTAAAGTTCCCTTGGGTTTTCCAGATTCAGAATCATATTATCTACAAACAAAAGATAATTTTATTTTTGCCTCTCTAATTTTGATAGCTCTATTTTATTTCTTTTATCTAACTGTGGGCTCATGCCTCAAGAACACGTTTAAGGTTTTTTGACTTCAATGAGTATTTCTCCATTCAGCACAATGCTTATCAGAGGTTAAGAATGATAAGTTTTATCATGTTAAGAAATCGCCCTCTTGTATTACGTCATGAAATCTTTTTATGAAAGATGATTGTTGAATATTTAAGAAGTCTTTTTATCATCTATACAAATGATTATCTGTTTCCTAAAATTAAACCATTCTTGCATTCCTAGAATAAACCCCATTTAGCTGTAGTATTTTATTTTTCCTTAATGTACAGCAGGATTTTGTTTGCTAATGTTTTATTTAGGGCTTCTTTGTCAGAAGTCGTAGGGTGAGGGAGCCACACTGCTCTCAGTCACGTCCTAAAGGAGTCGGGATGCCTGCCTCCCCTTTCCCTGAGCTCTGAAACATTTTATTGTTGTTGTTTGGGTTTTTTCGGTACCAGGGATCGAACTCGGGACCTTGTGCTTGGGAGGCTGGCGGCAGCACCACTGAGCTAAATCCCCGGCCCTCTGAAACATTTTAGATAGCACTAGAGTATTTTGTGTTTGAATATTACATAGATTTAATATTCTCTTGAAACTAGCTGAGCCTGACGCTGTTTTGAAACAGATCTTTGGTGTTTTTCTTCCTTCTCTCCTATAGTAGTTAGTTGATTTGGGTTTTCTGTCATCTCAAAGTTTTGGTAAATTATATTTGCCTAGAAAATTGTCCTTTTCTTCAACATCTTTAAATTTATTTGCTTCTGGCTGAACCAGATGGGTTGTGTACTTATTACATTTCTCCCAGGTCTATGATTATTTTTGCTTTAATATGTTTTAGTTTTTGTGGTTGTGCTTTCTACCATTTCTTTATTGTTTGTTTAATTTTTCAAGAAACAAGCTCTGAGTATTTTTATTGGTGCAATTATGTTTTCTGCTTTCTAATACATATTTGCTTTTATTGTACTTACTCATTTTACTCTATTATTCATTTGACAAATACGTATTTAACACATATTTATTGAGCGCCTTGTATGTGTCTGGCCCACTTCTAGGTGCCGGGGTTATATCAGTGACCAAAAAATTGGTCAAAACTAGATGTTTGATTTCATTTCTTTCATTCCTATTTATTTCAGGTAAAGGTTTTTCTCTGAGCACAATTTTAGCTGTATCCTGTGGGTTTTCATATATAATATTGAATACCGCCATTTCTAGGTATTTTGCAGTTTTGTTTTGGAGTTCTTTTTGTCTCAAGAATTTTAAAAGAAAAATTGAAACCTCCAAGTGCCAGGAGCTATTGTTTTCTGATTGTGATTCGTTTTAATTTGTATCGCTGTGTGATTAGAGACTCACTCAAACTGTTTCTTCCTGAGACTTCATTTAGATTTTCTTTGTTATCTACTGTTTGGTGAATTTTTTGTGAGGGTTTCATTGATACTTGAAAATATTCTTAGCTTTCAAGGTACAGACTTGGACATATATGATATTTGGATGAACGTTATTGGTGGTTCTCTTGTATTGGTGTTTGCTTTCTTAGATCTGTTGTGGGACCAGAAAGGTAAGTCATAGACACGTGACTAAGGTCCACCAGCCTATTTTATTATATATTTCCTATAATCACTGTTTATTTAATTTGCATGTAAAATTCAGGCCTTCTGGAGCATACTTGACATTCATTAGCATTCACCACATTTAGTCTGTACAGTCAAAATAAAAATATTCCCATCACCTCAAAGAATTCCCTCATGCCCCATTTAGGCACTCCCTCTGTCCCCTGCAGGCTTCTGGCAGTCATCATTTGCTTTCTACCTCTATAGTCTCGTCTATTCCAAAATCTTGTACAAATGGAATTATCTAGTAGCCTTTTGAGTTTGATCTCTTTTACTTAGCATATTCCATCTTGCTGTGTATGTCAGTGTCTTGTTCTTTTTAAGGGCTCAGTAGTATTCCACAGTATGGATATACTGACGTTCATCCAGTCCGTGCTGAAGGCCATTTCAGCTGTTTCCAGTGTTTGGCTACTATGATTATATCCATATAAACATTTGCATACAGATTACATAAGTTTTCATTTCCCTTGCTTGAATACGAAAAATGTGACTGCTGAATTGTATAGTGAATATGTAGTCAGCATAATAAGGACTTGCAGTATTTTCCAAGCTGCATTCCTAGAGCCAGAATTTCTATTGCTCTGCACCCTCAAAGCACTTGGTATTGTCAGGGTTTTGCCTGTTGGTCTTAGCCATCCTAAGAGTTGTGTAGTGATATCAGACTGTGATTTTAATTTGCATTTTCTGAGTGATTAATCATATTGACCATCTTTCCAAGTTCTTTTTGGGGGGTACTGGGGCTCGAATTCAGGATCTCATGGTTGTCAAGCAGGTGCTGTGCCCCGAGCTACATCCTCCGAGTTCTTATTTGCCATCAACTATGCTTTTTGGTGAAATCTCTATTCAATTTTTTTGCCTGTTTTTGGTTGTTGGGTAGTTTTGTCATTTTTGAGTTGTGAGAGTTCATTATGTTTTTTTGTGGTTTTTTTTGTATTGGGGATCGAACTCAGGACCTTGAGCTTTTGAGGCAGGTGCCAGAACCACTGAGCTAAATCCCCAGCCCACGTTATGTGTTCTTGATAGTCCTTAAACAGACATGTGTTATGAAAATATCTCCTCCCAGTGTCTAGCTTGCTTTTTCATCTTATTAACTATAATTTGAGGAATAGAACTTTTAAATTTTGGTGAATTCTTATTTATCTGTTCTTTTA